GAATTGTTTGTGTAGGACATGAACTCGGTCACGTCCAACCTTCTGCTCCAAACAGCAGCAACTCTGAGTACTTTGGTCTTCTCTGTATCAGCTATCACCTGTTCAATTTTTCTCTCTGATTCTTTACTGCTCATATAATAGTAGAAGGTTTTCATGTGGCACTGGAGTCCCATGCTGCTTTCAGCTTTAGTTGTGTTTTGACTTCCCTGCAGGCGTGCTGCGTGCCTGGGCAATATTTGTGTATTCTTCCCTTGATAGGCTGTTCTTGCTTCTTCCTCCTTAGGACAAGCTGCTGATTAATCTGTTTATTTTGCTGGGGTTTGGGATGTACTCCTTGTGTGTGGTTAGTAATTGTTCTTAAATACTCCTCAGTTTTCTTGAGCTCTTTTGCTTTTTAGAACTAGATTCCACAGAACTCCAGCTACTGGGTAAATCAATCTGCTCATATGAAGTGCAAGGTCTGTGTTGGATTTGCCTTCCTCCTCTCAGGATTTTAAATGTCACTCTTTCATGGCCAAATGGTCATGGCCAAGGCTGCTGTTGATCCCATCCCTGGCAAGTTCTTGGGGTCTTTTCCTTGAAAGCAATCTCAAGGAAGTATCAAATGGGGATTGACTCATTTAGTGCTGTTTCCCTCTGAAATATTTCAGAAACCTCTTAGATTTTGTCTCCTGCTGTGGTGCCATTCTAGTAGATGTCACAGAGGTGAAGTAGTAACCTGTCTCTGTCATTTTTAGAAACTGTCTGGAACTGCTGAAATAGTTTTCATCAGGTTCGTATCCTGACTATGTGATTTGTAACAAACTTTGACTGTGATGTTCCCTCTAACCCTGACCCACAAGCTCTTAGCCAGCCTGTTGTCTGTCCTGTAGAGCAGCTTTTTGTGTTCCAGCTACTCCTGCAGGTAGAGGGCAGGTCGCCTGCTGTTCTTCCCTTCCTGGCTTTGTTTAAAAGCTTGTGTCCACTGATGACAAAGTGCCAGTCACGCAAGCTGTCCCACACGCCTCACTCTGGTGTCAGCTCTGTGTACAGGTGCTCTGGGTGGCTTCCCTTTTAACATGATTTATCCTCACCAGGGTATGTCGTCCTTCCACCAGCCTGACCAAGTACTTCCATGGCTCAGTCTCTATTCCCTCCCTGACTGCTAAGTTCAGGAACCATTCCCTGGCAGATCTCTCATTTACAGGGCTCCTCACCAGCTCTGATGAGGTTGTTCATATCCCACTTCCTTGACTGCATCCTATTTCTAGCTTAGCAGCCCTTGTTTCTCAGGGGTACTTGTGGCCATAAAAGTTAAAGTGTTCCTTGCAGTGCCATTCCTGTGGGGAGTTCTTAACTTGAAGGATGTCTCTACAAGCCTTTCACCCCCCCACAGGAAAAGAGCAAGGAGGGCCTGGGGTCCCGTGTCCTTCTTTGCCCCTGGAGTTTTCTAGCCACACTTGATTTGCCCCATCCAGGTCTCTGTTAATAGCAGGTAATAATTAAGTGGGAAAGGAACAAAAAAGAAAAGAAAAAGGCACTATTGGTGATGATAATAAAGATCATAGGACCCTTGACAATCTGTGACATGTCAAATTGGCCAAGCCTCCTTTTCCAGCATATCTGGCAGCAGATGGTGTGTCTTCCCTGCAGAAGGGAATCTCCAACTAGTATTACCTGCCCCTCCCTTGTGTTGCTAATGCTTAGTCCAAGCCCAGCTAGCTCTGACATGTACCTTAATTGAGGTGCTTGCTGCTTCTGCATGCTGATGTTGACCCAAAAAAAAAAAAAAGTGGAAAAAAAAAAGGTTTGTGTTTGCAGCCTTACTGTAAGGAAAAGACTGTGGAACACTGGTATTATGAAAAAGTGGTTTTGGGAGATGTGCAGTAAGAAAGGAATTGAGATTTATGGAAAAGCTCTGATAATTACAAGGCTCAGACTGATGTTTGAGTACCTCTCTTAGCAGCTAGTGTGTGCTGGAAGCTTCTCATGCAGCAATGATTGTTGGGTGTTGTGCTGAGGATTGTGTGCTTTAGCTTTCATTGACGTGTTTGCATGCAGTCAGTGTGCATGAAAATACTACTTGGTCTTCAAAAGTATCAAAAAATTAAACTTTAAAAGTATTTTTATGGCAATCTTCTATGTTGGGCAAGGTTCTTCAGGCTGTTGAGTTCTGCTTTTATTTGGCATGTGATTACTATATTGATTTATATGTTTGGATCAGAGAAATGAGTGTTGTAGTAGAAACTGAAACATTTGCTGTTCCTGGCTTTTAAAGCACTTGGACCAAGCTGCCAGGCAGTGATAGGTGGGACTGCTGGAGTCTAGTTTCCTAGGAGTGTGTCTCTGAAATGTAGCACTTCCAGCTTTTAGCATATTTTTTCTTCCCAGTTGCCACTTTCTCAGTGTTTTGCCATGAAACTGTGTAATGTTCACTTTGAAATTATACTCACAGAATGGCAACGGAGAGGCAAGAGATAGTTGAAGAATTTAATGCTTATTAGCTATGTCAGTACAAATGAGTACTTGGGCGACTTCTGGTTGTACTGGACTGTTATTTCTCCTTTTATATTTGTTTTGAAATTGTCAAAGAGATGAACAAGTAACAGCTGAAGAGGGAGAGAAATAAAACATTGATCGTAGAAGTCCCATTTGTTTAGAAAAGTAGTCCAGAAAATCAGCACATGGATACTCATCTGTTCATTTTTTTGGCCATGTTGTGTTTCAGCAGGTATCAACTGAAAATCAGAGGGGTTGATACTTTTTAGTAGTAGGGATGTGTCCTACTGTCTTCAGAGTATGAATTCTATTACCCACTATCTGCTGTGAAAAGGCAGAATGTTGCTCTTACATGAATTATTGTCCCATTTGTGAAATTCTCAGCAGGCTGTCTTGTGGGGAGGGGAAATCAAATGTGTGTGCTGTGATCCTTTGTTGTGGAACTTCAGATGGCAAAGTGACTGTGACTGGAGATGCTGCCACAGAGCAGCAGCTCTGCTTCAGTGATTTACTTCAGAATGAAAGCTTCTAATTTCCCAGGTTACAGATTTGAGGCTTTTAAGGAAGCCAGTAACAACATAATGTATTTCATTATCAGTCACTTAAACTGCACTTGAGTTCACATCCCTTTTCTTTAATACAGTAACGTTGAAGATGCAATTTGGAGATGAACTTGAGAGTATTGTATTGAAGTTCCCTAACGAGTCCATAGGGGAAAGGGAAACAGAAGAGTGTGGAAAAATAGTTCAGGAATTTACATTAGTGATGTAAATGTTACTGTGTGTTATGGAAACATGAATGTACTTTAAATCTACCCATAAACAGAGGTGGTACTGGTGTGGTCTTTGCTTATTCAGAGGTTTAGAATGGCTCGTTTGAAAATCTGAAAAGATCCTTTAGGAGGGGATAGGATTGTGCCAAGTCAACTGGTATTCATGGAGATCACTGTTATTTAGGGAACAATATTAATTCAGCCTAGTAGCAGAGAATTAATTGTTCAGATCTGTTTACTGTGGTCAAAAAAGAGGTAGGACAAATCTATTAGAGTTATCCTTGAAAAGGTGTACATTGTTGGTAAGAGACATTGCACATAAATCTCTTTGCTACCTCAAGTTGATGTGGATTTTTTTTGGTTGGCATCTTTTTTTTTCTTCCACCAGACAGAGGGTAATGTCATGAAAAGTAATGCCATGAATGGTAGGAAACATAATAACCCTACCTAGTTTGTTAGTAATCAACTACTGTGGAAGGCTTTTCTTGCAGGCTGTAGTCTGTCAAGTTATTTCTCTTTCTGAAGGATTTTTTAAAATAGCTGTTAAAGATCCCATTGCTTTGTCATCAGGAAGAGAATGCAATCATTGGTAGAGAGCAAAATTGTAAAAAAGCAGAAGGATATCTGTTGGGTCCCTTCCAACTCACTATTTTCAATGATCTAGTGAAGGAAGCTCCTCTACTTCACTGGAGCTCCTCTACTATGTGGAGAAGTGCAAGTTAGAACATAAAAGCACTGTGTGAAATGATTTTAAAGACTTTTTCATCTGAGGCTGTTACTTTACCTCTGTAAAAGGCACCAAAGCCATCTATCTTCCTCCTGCTGTCCACTCTCCTGGTGGCCTTGCAGCTCTCATGGCTGTGGTCACATCTGTGTGTGTGTGTGTGTGTCCAGCAACCATAAACTGACCAAAAATCTGAGCTTGGTTTCCAGCAAGGTGGACAAAACAGTGGATGTAACAGTGCCAAACCTATTTTCATCATGAGCAAAGGGTATGCTTTCCACATCCTGGCTGTGATGTGCAAGCCTGTACACTTGATAGAAGGGAAGCCTGTGTTTGTGGTGAAACAGGGAATCTTGCTGTAGGCCTTTTGAGTAGCTCTTTTTGTGTCACTATATGAATTCTTTTTCAGGGTTGAATTGAGGAAAATTTGTTGTTTGGAAGCATGTTTGCCTAGAGGCATGCAGATAAGGATTATGCAGCCTTTTTAGAGGAGAAAGACCGAGCAGAACAGACAAACAAATGCAAAAAACTCATTGAGATTTTTGGAAAAGATTAATTTGCCTTCTATCTCCCTGTAGATGGAGGAGCCCTTATGACTAAAGGCAAAGTAAGTTACTTCCAACCCAGGACTTCTCAAGAATTCTGTCTGTCCTGGCAGACTTCATTGCTGTTCCATACTTTCATTTTACAGTGAGGTGTGGTAAGGTGGTTATATGGTAAGGTGATTATATAGTGACTCAAACCTGCTGCTGAAAATGTTTAGCTTAGCATTGTGTGGGACGTGAATTGTGCAAAAACCCCCCCAAAAAACAACAAGTATGGCTTGAAAGATGTTGCTGCCTGTTGGGTGTAATTCCAAATGAGCATCACAGGACTGGGCACTGTGTTGGGTGACAGGGTCTGTGCAGGCTCTCTTCAGAGGTGACTGATGGCATGATTTCTATACAGGAAAAGTATGTCATAGAGCACTTACAGTGAAAAACTGCGTGTCACTTGTTTTCAAAACATAAAATTATATTTTTATAGGTCTGACAAGAAGCCTGACTATAACTTCAGTTGACCAGTCGATGTTTGAAAAAGCACAAGGAGAGAAAGTTACGTTGCCATGTACTTTTGAACTCTCGGAAGAAGATGAAGGACCACTAGATATTGAGTGGGTATTGATACCAGCAGATAACCAAAAGAGGGAACAAATAGTAAGTAGAGACTTCTCTTTGTACAGTGCTAATTCAGTTGTTTTAGTAGGTCAATGTATGAGGTTTTTACTGACTCTTTAAAGTTCCACCTTTTCAGGTTGGGATGCTTGTGATCTTAAATTGCTTTGAAGCACCAGTCACATGAAATCTAGTGGAAGTTTTGAAATACTGGATTAAGGATGAAATGTTAAGACATTTTTCACTATAAACTTGCCTTCTAATGAAGAACTTCCAAATTAAATACACTTCAGTTCCAAAAAGCAAACTTTGCTTTTGTACCTGCATTATCTTCCTTATTGAAAATAGATTCGTGAGGACTTAATTTTAAATATATTAACTCTTTTAGTTCTTGATGCTTTCCTCTCTTTGAAAGCCTTATAAGTAAGATGATTCATACTAGTAGGCAGGTTTTGCAGATTTAAAATGGAGCAATTCTAAAAAGTTTTCTTTCAGTCAGAAGTCCATGCTGACATATTGGTACTTGGTCAGGTGTTTAGTTGGAGTATTCACTATAATGCTGTGTGTGGTGGTATTTTGAAGGTGGAGATATTTGACTCACTCTGTTTTATTTCTGGAGTTAAAGCTATAGAAAGAAACTTGAAAATTCAAAGAGATGAAGTTGTTTTAAATGTTTGCACACTAAGTGGATTTCTGAATCACATTTCTTTTTTTTTTATAGATAATTATGTATGCTGTAGACAGGGTTTATAATCATTATTATGCTGGTTTGACTGGGCGAATGCAGTTTACTAACCTTGATCCCAGATCTGGTGATGGTTCACTGGATATCCTGAATTTAAAAGCATCAGACACTGGCACATATCAGTGCAAAGTGAAGAAGGCTCCTGGAGTTCAAAGCAAGAAAATACAGTTGACTGTACTTGGTAAGATAATGTATTTTCTTAAATTTTCAGTGATGTTTTTTATGTGCTTATTCCATCCTTTTTTCAATGTCTGAAATGAAGGCTTCTGTTGGGCAGTGTTGTACTGAATCTGTGGTGATTATGGTCATTACTGAGGCCTTGGGAGGGATGGGCATAATTCTGTTCTGGGAAATGAAGGGAATGATATTTAGAATTACAAGCATTTCTAGAAGTTCTGCACCTGATTCATATTTTGTAGAAAAATCTTTCTGTGCATTGAAATGGACTGGCTGCTAGAACTCAACTAGGAAATATTTTGATTGTGACTGTTATTAATTCAGTGATTTTTTTGTTTATTAGTAAAGCCAGCACGGACTAAATGTTCCATTGAAGGATCACAGGAGATTGGAAAAGATGTTACCTTGAAATGTGTGTCACAAGAAGGATCCCCACTTCTGTCTTATGACTGGAGGAGAATATCTGGCACACAGAATCTTCCTGCCACTTCTGTGCTGAGTACTGTCAAATTTCTTTTATTACTCTGAAATAATTAAAAAGATTGCAATATTATTTTTGGCTTATCCTGACTTGTAAGCATCTCTGGGTTAGCATTACTATAGAGTTGTCAAGATTAAATATCACTTCTGCCCTTTAACAAAACTGACTTTGAAACAAGCTGGAGTTGATTCAGGTTTTTAATTCACGCTTGGAAATGTTTCAAGCTTCAAGTTGAGATTCTTATAATGAAGAGCTGCAGTATCATGCTCACCTGTGCCCAGATGTTGTTAGTTCTCCTGCTTGCTGATGGTTTTGCTTTTGTGCTTAAGTGGTCATAGGGAATTCAGATGTGGCTTCAATATGATTTAAAACAAGCAAAAAATCTCCATTTTTTTGTAAGCTTCTGCATTCTATTAGAGTATGTAATATCTTAAAACACAGATCCCTGAAAATCATCTACAAAGGAAGAACCTAATACTGTTCTTCATTTTGGACTTGACTCCTGGTCTCCTATTTGATGTCTCTTATTCATTGTTTTGCCAGTGAATCTGTTGGTCATTAATGTTCTCTGTACCACTCAAGACTTTAGACTACTGTTGTTATGCCCCTTCTTTCTCCACATCCCAAATTTGTCTGTCTAGTGGTAGCAACAAGAGAAATTGGCAATATCAGTGCTGGACAAGAATGAGTGGGACATTGTGCAAGAGTGACTTGTAACTCACAAAAGCCATGCTAGTTTTGGGCTTGTGACTGTAGTTTTGGGGACACTGAGTGTGTTCTATAGAATCTAGACCCTATCTAACTTGTTCAGCAGATAGAGCAAGTCAAATACTGTGGAATACATTTCTGATGGAGTAAGACTTCTATAAACAATAGCATGATAGAACTGTTTTAATCTGTTTTTTTAATATGGCATTTTTTAAGTTAAGATTTCATGTATATGCTGGTTTAGTAATTTTTTGATATTATATATAGAATTATGTTTAGAAAAATGGTAAACCTCTCCCTTCTGTTGTTTGTAGATAAAAATACAGGGGAACTTCTTCTGAAGAACGCCTCTCGAGAGTATTCTGGTACATACAGCTGTGTGGCCACAAACAGAGTTGGCACAGATGAATGTTCTGTTGAGCTGAATGTCACCCCTCGTAAGTGTTTGCTGTGCAATAGTCACACAGGGTTCTTGTAGTAAAGCTGAACAGTCTTTTTCTCTAAACTCCTAAATGGTTAAAAACCCCAATGCTCTTATGTAACTTGTGGGTGCTGCTTCAAGTCTTACTGTTTTAAATGCATGTGATTGGGCACTCCCCCTCTGATTCAGTGATTCAGTATCATTGACTTGCCTCACGTGAAACATACTGGACTTAATGTTTAAAGACTGGTCTGATAATGGTCTGACATTTAACAAACAGTGTTGTTATTTGTCTATTCTAGCCGTAAATACAGCTGGTATAATTACTGGAGCTATTATAGGAACTCTGCTGGGTCTCTCTGTACTGTGTTCTATCATCTTCTGTTTTTGTAAGAAGCACAGAGAGAAGAAATACGAGAAAGAAGTACATCATGATATCAGGTAACAATGTGTCTCTAGTTTCTGAGCAGTATTATTGGAAGATTAACTTTTAAATGTGTATTTCTGCAAATAAGTTACTTAACAGTTGAGATTTCTGTCTTAATCTGGAAAGCTTATTATACCACTAATGGCTTGTTGGAGAACTTTTTGTGGTTTGTCTAATTTCAGCAAACATTTTAGAGGCAATGAATATTGAGGGTTTGGGGAGCTTTTGTTACTTTAAAGGAAGATATAAAGATATTTTTAACTATATTGGAATTGAAAATACCAAACCTGAATATTTGTTTTAAAGTAATGGTGACTCTTGTTCTGCAACTGATTGTTTTTTGGTGTTTTGTTCATTTCAGAGAAGATGTTCCACCTCCAAAGAGTCGCAGCTCTACAGCTCGCAGCTACATCGGCAGCAATCGTTCTTCCCTGGGCTCAATGTCTCCCTCCAACATGGAAGGATATACCAAAACTCCATATAGCCAAGTCCCAAGTGAAGACTTTGAACGTGCTCCTACTCAAACCCCAGCCTTTGCACCTTCAAAGGTAGCTGCACCTAATTTAAGTAGAATGGGAGCTGTTCCTGTGATGATTCCAGCACAAAGCAAAGATGGGTCGATAGTATAAAATATTATTAATTTAAAAGCTGTTTTTTTTAAAGTGTTCATTGTAAGTATTAGAGAAAAATACTGTGTTCCATCCCTCATTTAAACACTGGCATGAAATTTTCCTTGAAGAAAGTATACAAGTGAGTTTGAAAAGCCACCAATTCTCATGTTTAATTTTAAATTTATTTGGATATGATAGTTGAACTATTTGCTAAAAATGTTGAAGTTCATAAATAAATATCGGACACTGAAGGTATTTGGACCTCTGGTAGGTTGCTGAGGAGGTTCTGACACTGTCAGCTAATGTACAGTTCTGAATGTGTAACAGTGAGACACAGGTGAGAAGTAGCAAAAGCATTTCATGTGTAGACCATGAAGTTTCTCAGAGTTCCTGAGACTTTATTCTCAGTTGTGGGATAACAGAAATATTTTAACTTGGCCACTGTCTGGTATAGTTGCAGGGGGCTGAAATACCAAGGATGACTTTGAATTCTGTTCAAATTGAGTATTTATGTGGTTCTTCAACCTGGTGATGTTTGTTTGGAGTACTGGAGCTCTTATTTGTCAGGGGCAGACAGTCATTTGATTGATTAAATTAATTTAATTAATCTGTTCTAAATTTAAAAGGGCAATGAGTGGAAGTGTGACAGAAAACCTTGCAAGTTCTTTGAAACACAATATTTTTTAATAATTCGTTCTGGTCCTGTCAGATAACTTAATATTTATGTTATCTGATGCAGGAGGTCCTATCAAATTGTTGGTAGAGGTATCTAAGCTCTAAAATCTATAGCCCAACTGTTACATTAACTCATTCTTACTGTGACAGTATCTTTACACAGGTCTTGAATTAGTTGTACCTTGCATTTTCCAATGCCTGGTTAGGTACTATGGCAGTGCTCATAGTTTTTTTTCCAAAGCAATTTCCTAGAAGCTCTATGGGGATTTGATGAAACCTGTTTTAAGTAACTGGTATTTGATGTCTGTCCTCTTGCTCTAGCCACTGTGGAAACAACTTTTCTTGTATGCCCCTAAGCAGTAGTCAGTCCTTGTTCAAGATGCTAATGTCTGGCTGTATGAATTTGCAAGGAGTTCAAAGCTCATTTTTTCTTGCCTCTTTAACAGCCCTAAATATTCTGAACCAATGTTCAGACTGTGGAGGGCAAGTTTCATGTAACTGAGAGAAAACAATAACAATTTTATCAAAAAAATAGAATTGTTGATACAAATCTCATGTTGCAAGATTGAAAACGCTTCTTCCCAATTTTGCAAACTTAAAGCAATACAGGAGAAACACAACAATTCCTTGTCTTACTTTCACATGTATTTAAGGACTTCTGGTAGCTTCTAATGACTGTTGTAACATACCTGCAAAAGCTCCATTTAAAACTCTGTACAGTTTGAATCTGTGAATTCTTCCTTTCTTCCTGTTTTCTACCTTCTTTGTCTTGTGCTGGGGAGCAGATGGGAGAGAGTTCTTTTAGCTGACTCTAGCTAGGGATGTTGAACTGCAAGGTATTTTGGAAAACTGTAAATTCATTACAGTATGTGCACTGATGTTGATGAAGGAAATATCTGAATAGCCTGTTGAAAGATGTTAGTATTATTTGTATGTAGCAACAGTGAGAGAAAGCATTAACCCAGACTTCTAGGTTTAGTATCTGCTTATCTGTAGCTGCCTATAAATCTGTGATTAATTCTTTGGCTTACTACTAAATGTTTGTCCTATCTGTAAATAGGTGCACAATTTTTGGCTGGCACTATTAATGTAAAGAAATTTCCCTGCCCATGGCAGTGGTTGGTACAAGGTCATCTTTAAGCTCCTTACAACTCAAACAATTTCATGATTTTAACATACCCTTCGTACTGAATTTAGAAACTTGAATGGCTATTAAGTAATATAGAGTTAGTTTTACACATTTGGGACTTTTTTAGATTGTAAACTGATACTGATAGAGATCAGATTTTTTATCTTTCATGTGTGCCTTGTCAATAAAATTTGCCTGATTGTAACTTCAGTTTTTATTAAATTTCTGGTGCCTAAACATACTGTATGAACAGGTGCTTAGATGATGGTACAGTTCTTAAAACATGACACTGTGATCTGATTTCTTGATTCTTATGTACTATTTATACCTCTTCATGCCTATTTTTGGATGTGAACTTCAGTGTCTCTCTCTGTATTGTTCTGTATTTCAAAATGTCACTTAAGTCCTTCAATTGCTAATTATGATTCAAATGTTTGTGTTCCTGTAAGCTCTTCAGTTGTTGTACCAATGAGAGAGATAATTGACTTTCATTTATGTGGTAAATAATAGGCTTAGTAAATGTGCCAAACATAGCTTCTGAAGAACTATAGATGAGGAGACATGTTTTTGCATCCAATTATTGTGATAGAAGAGACTTCCAAGATGTTAATCATACACTGATTGTTTACCTTGAAACTAAGGCCTTTCTTAATGAAAAGGGTATAGTTACTACAAATACAAGTTGAGTGCAAGACTAAAGTGAATCACAGACTGAGAGAGAGCTATAAACCTAAGGAACCAGGCAGCAAACCTACTACATTTGGTTCTAAGCCGTCTGTGGACCTATGTGTTTTTTTAAATTAATTTTTTGTTTGTTTTGGTTTGGTTTTGGTTTGGCCTGAGACCCTGTAACTTACAGTCAGGTAAGCCCTAGAACACTCAAACTCAGAAACCTGTCTCAGTAAAGCACACGGAGCAGAGTTTACACATGCTTGATGCTCTGTCAGCTTGTGCAAAATAATAAATGGGCAGAAGGACAGCCTGATGTGCCCTCAGAGCCTGGCTGTTAGGCTTAGCAGCCTTGACAGTGTCTGTCTATTTATGTAATTGCATGGAAAAATGAAAGAAATGGAATCTGACACAGTCCTTATCTGAAATATAGAACCTCTGACTTGGGGTAAACTCTGCCTCAAGTTGCTATCATCATGCCTTTTTGGGTGGATGCAACACTACTATGAAAACATAATACTGCTACTATAAGTTATTTCTTTTGTCGCTAGATTGTTCACTTACACTGGATTATGATTCTCAAAAGCAGCTACTGTATTTTAACAATAATTTCTAGCTGTGTGGGAGATGAACTGGTTAAACATGTGAGGTGTCTGATGTGACAGAGAGCTCTGCTGACAGAACAGTTTTAGGAAGTAATGGCAGCTGATATACCAGTTAGGAGGTGGCATTTTTAAAGTCTCATTTTGTTAAAAAAAAAAAGGGGGGGGAAAGGGGAGGGAGGGTGGTACCATTGTGTAAATACTCCAAGTGAGCTCAAGAAACCTCTAGTTAATGTCATGACTGTAAACTTGCCTGTTGAGGACTACTATATATAGAAAGAAACCCCTCAATTTTAGCATGGTGTGAATAAAGTGTTAGACTTGTAATACTGTAGAGGTTACGTAACACTTGTCCATACATTACAAGGGTTTTCATCAACTTTCTGCAGTGGGTATTTAAAAATACTTGTGTGAAACTTCCTTCCCTAAGAACAAATACTTCTTCCAAAACTGTGGTGCACAGAAATGCCTTGTTGGAGGGGTAAAACATGGCTTTTGAAAGAAATGTACAATGCATACGTCTTTCTCAGCTCTTGGTAGTCTCATTCATATTAGATGTATGCTTCCTGTTTAATAGTGCAAGTAAGACTTCTGAATTGCAAGTTTTTATGTAATGCTGAATATTGTATATTACTGGTTTCCATGACAAGCTTTTAGTTTTGTTCTGAGCAGTGTATATATTCTGGATCACTCTAGGTCTTTGTTCAGTCTAAAGATATTATGCTATTTGTGTCACTTAAACCTTGTTTTATACACTTGATAGGTGCTTTTTGGGGCCCTTTATTGGATAATCCCCTAGCACTGAGGCATAGCTCAGCTGAAATCAGAGCAATAACAACTTCCTGGGATCCAAAATGTTACAATGTTACATTACATTTCTCATGCACAAAGCATGGACTTTGAACATTGATATGAATTTCAGTATGAGGTTTTTATATTCACACTTTTGGGGGAATGGTATTTTAAAATACAGGTATTGTGAGTGAATTTGTAAAAAAAACTAAATCCAAAATTTTAAAATGCTATAATTCCTGACAGACTTGTGTACTTTTTGAAATAAAACTGTTGGAGAAAACAGTAGTCTGTCTTTATTTTAAAGCAGCACTTGTATATGTCTTCAGCTTTTTCTTTATGTAATTGGACGTGAACTAATAAATATGGCTGTGTATACCATGCTGGCATGAATAATTTTATTTATTGTTTTTCCCCCCTGCCCCCTTCCAAGGCAAATAAAACTTTAGATATTTTAAAATACTCACTTTTAGGTGGGGTTTTTAACTGTAGGTATGGTTATTCTGAAACATAAGCCTGGAAATGAACTTCAGATTAGATTTCATCCCTCTTTATTTTAGGTAGAACCAAAAATTCCTGAAACTGATTAATCTTTGTCCTTTAAATTTCAAACAAGCTGGTTGACAGCACTCAAAGTATGTTGATAAAATGCTAGGGGGTTTTGTTGTTCATGTGTTAACTTGCATCTCTTTCAATTTCAATGGAGCTGACTCGGGATGCTCTGCACTGCTTGGCCTTGCAAACCAACTGATTATTGTCCTTGTCATTTTACCTGAGATTAATGTGACTTCTCCAGTGTCATCTCCAGGGTGGAGAACCAAAGTCTGGCATGGGCTCTTATCTGCAATAATGGCATGCATTAAGTTCATATAATTGGAGGCATAATTAACTTACATTTGCTCATAATATATGCACGTTCTTATGTTATAATGCATGCCTATATATAATATATCAAGATATATTAACGTGTTCTGGGCCAGGCCAGAAGTTCCACTGACTTCTTTATATATATAAAAAACCCAATATATGTGTGCGCAAGCATGTGAAGTTAAATGGAGTACTGGTAGATAAACCTCTAGGATTTTTTTTTAATTTTAAATTAAGCATCATGCTTAAATACCAAAAGAAACCTAATAGAAATGGAAGTTCAGATTTGTCTCTATTTATAGAGTTCTAAGAAACCTTTCTTACACTCTTTTTAACATCCTTGTCAAGACTTGGGAAAGGATGGAAGTGTTGAGCTTAGGGTGGCAGTTTTGTCACAGATGGCTCTTGCATGCCTC